CCTTAGGATTCCTAGCCTTATGTTTAATTAAAAAAAAAAAAAAAAAAAGTATTTATAATCAATGATTTATTATATTATAATATACTATATATAATTATGACATTATGTATATTAATTTTTATTTATTTAAGTATGCTGTGGACATTTTTAAAATTAACAAGTGTGCTGTTAATAAAAAAAGGTTGGGAATCCCTGATATGCATGTAGTCAACGAGTGTTACCAATCCAGAAAGGTGTTAAGTAAAAATAACCGATTATATTTAAGTACGTGTAGGTTACTAAACTTCCATAGGTTGGTTGTACGAGTTTTATAATGGAGACGTGGCTTTATCTATTTTATCTAATCTTGTTGATACCCAAAACCACATAAAGAAGTACATTTTTATAACCACTGCTACATTTAATTAATTATTGGTAAGAATAACGTTGTTGTTAAGTTGGTATCAGGTCACTTCCCCGTTCAATACACTACAATAAAATATAATATAAACATATTAATAATACATATATAAACATAATAAAATGTTGTTTAATAATAATAAAAAAAATAATACCTTACATTTATAAATGATTTCATTTTTCGTTTAGTCCTTTTCAAAAATATACTCCCTATCAGTGGCGTATCTATGAAACATTTTTTTTTTGGGGGGGGGGGGGGCATAAATTAATTGCGCAATTTTTTTTGTTATAATATAATCTGAAACTTTATTATAAATTATATTATTTATAAATAATATAATATACTTGAAACTCATGTTGATCACTTGATATCAGTGATAACCACATTATAAAATAGTGACTATATGTGACCATCACACCTAATCCCAATTCGGTCGAATATTGATATTTTATATTACATTGATAAGTGATAACAAAAACTTTTGATATCAAACACGATTATAATCGGTGAAAATTAAAAATATTTATAATTTATATTATTTAAGCTAAACAATTAATTTGCATTATGGCATCAAAAAACTTCTCATAGGGGGGAAAATGCCCTTGTTTCCTCCCCCCACAGGTACGCCACTGCTCCGCATTTACTAACACATTTTTTCCTTTGGTACTTTTGACGAAAGTCGTTTTAAAATAGTATAAAAAAAAAAAAAAATAGGTCAATTGAAAAAAATCTTATGTAAGTATTACAAATGTAACGGCGAATAACGGATAAATAACTACGTGACGGTTATCGAGCAACTATTAAACTACATGTATTTCAATTCGTTAGTTTTACCAATGCATACCGGATCCGTCTTAGGATAACATATATTTTCTTGGGTAATTTATATTTGATAAAACCTATAAGAATAAATATATATATATCTAAGTTCATTTGTCCGTACCTATACAAGATGCAATTGTAAGCTATATAAACATATTATTCAGTGTGGAATTAAAATGAATTGTTTTATACTATCGTTATTTGTTATATATTACATCCTTCTTTTGACGGGGAAATATCAAACGGGAAAATCGCTAGACGGGGAAACGGTAACGAGGAAATGTATTGCTGAGATCTGTCCATGACTCGCCAAGTTAACCCATCAGCGCTGAGCGTCCCTCTATGGATATACATGTATTTCTATTTTTAAAACATGTTTGGAGAAACTTTGTGTTGATAGTTTTTGATACATTAATATTACATGAGTTTGTATGTTATCTCCACTTCATTTTCATATAATATTTAACAGTTAATTCGTAAACAGTGTCTATTGACGGTATTTTATTTCAACCAAAATTTTAAAATAAGCATTTGGCCTCGGCGTCATAAGCTCGCCGAGTCGTCGGGCTCAAGTGAAATATTTTCGACCGTCGCTGTGTGTCGAATGAGAATTTCTCCCATCATAATAATGAATTAAAATAGATTATAATAAATAATAATATTCAATTTTACTTGAGTGTCTTGTGTTATTATCATTATTAATATTATTATAATAACATGGGTTTTTTCACTCATCGTGTATTCAAAACCACTGTTTATACCATTGCAAAAAATCGGCTTTAATATTTTAAATTTAAATATAGGATACAATTGCAGTTTTATGTACTTTAAATTTGGTATGCGTAGAAATGAAAAAAAAGTAAGTATATTAAAAATTGAATACTTGTGCTTGTAAATTAATGTGATACTATTAATATTTATGTTTTCTGTGAATCCTTTTGAACTTTGAACGGAATCAATTGAAATCGGCATTAGAAATGCATTAACAGATACGTATGGTTGGCGAGTTCTAAATATTTTTTCTTCGTTCTATGTATTTTTTACTTCAACGTTATACTTTCACTTGCCAACGGTTTGTAATAATAACGTCATTTTCATTGTTATTCTCGACAAAATTCTAAAAAATACTATAGCTGCGCGTCAGGTTATATTATTTTGTTTATACGATATCTTTAGGATTTCGCCTTTAATCTACGTAAACTTACGTATAGTATTTAAAATAATTAAAAAAAAGCTGCTGTCATCTGCAGCGCTCACGTACCACAGGCCAAAAATTTAAATCAAAATTCTTACCGCTCATTCCGATGTCAGCTTTCATACTCATGCTGTTATGGATTACTGCGTAAACAATAATGTCCCTCGAGTTTTTGTCGAGTTATTTGTGACAATAGTTTTCCAAAATGCTGTCAATGGCGCAAGAAGAGCGTAGGTTGCTCTGCAGGCTGCAGCGGAAAGATTTCGAATTCCCTTTGGTACGTCCATTGCCGGTATATTTTTTTTCCCGGCACTGCATTCCTGTAATCATGTTTCGAAAACTAGGTTTAGTTTAACGACGCAATGTTTTTTCCGCGGACTATGTGTTTCAGCAGTATTTTGTGAATCATTTTGTAGAATCAAGACAGTAAAGGAAATTTTTGGGGCGAAATAATGTACGTTTCAATTGCCATCCAATGGCGGCGCGAAGGAGTTATATTTGAATCACGCGGTTCTCGAAAACACGGGTGGAGGGGGGTGGTTTTCGTGAAAAGAAAGTAAAGAAAATAATGATTATGGTAAGATACCCGTACACTGAGCACGTTATGATAATAATATAAAATATGAAACACTGAAATATTAGCTATAAGTTATAAACGTAAACATTTATGTACACGGTGAATTTTTGCGATCCACAAGAATAAATTATTTTAGTGGCTGATTCTATGAAAATGGCGATTCAAGAAAAAAAAAACTACGCCGGCATTAAAACACAATAGAGGTCATCGCATGCAAATAACCTATTACCCGATGATTTCTATACTACGTCTAAAAACCGTATCAGGCATAATTTTCATACCGGTATCGGATACACACTCAAATATACTGTACTAGCTGAATTACCCGGCTTCGCTTGTGTATAGTTTTTGCTTTCTCAAAATAGAATTGTTAAATCAACATACATTTTTGTGTTTTAAAGAAGAAAAAAATGTATTTTACTTAATGCTATCAAGTGCTAAATAGTATTAGTAGCTGAATTATAAATAAAACAAAAACAAAAATAATAATAATAATATTTACAAATGACTCTTTACGTAGTTGCTCAATTCTAATATGGCTTAAGTCAAAACCTCTCGGTATACCACATTTTGAGTTTTATTTTGTGGTGCAAAAACGTATAAATGGTCAGGTCTTCCAACTCTAGACAATGGCACATACAGTTGCCCATGTGAAAAACAGTTATTTTCCAAATATACACCACAGTAAATTAAAGTCTGACTTTGAGCTTTGTTTATTGTCATTGGAAAACAGACTTTTATTGGAAATTGAATTCTTCTAAACTTAATTGGAAAATTATTGGGTATTATGGTATTTTTGGTAAAAATATTTTTTCTCCCTTAGCACATCCGCTCAAAATTTCAGCTTCAATTATATTTTTTTGTAAGAGAGGTTACACGGAGCCTCTTCCCATTACATAATCTAGGAGAATTCAAATTTCTCAATAATATGGTTGGAACTCCCACCTTCAGTGATATTTTATGAGGAGGCATACCAGATAGTGTTTGTGAATTTAAAAACTCAGTAGGAAAATGTACCGATTCTTCACTATTAATAACTATCGATAGAAAAGTAATCCATTTCTAGTGCTTGAAATCCACTAATTATTAGCGAGTTTATTGAGTCAGCTCGGTTATTTGTGGTTGTCAAAATAACGCGGTTTTCCATATAATCCTACACAAGTCATAGCAACCGTAATCGGTGAACTGCTATTGTTATTATTATATGAATATAGATAAAAAATTACACGTAAAAAATTATTTTTACCGATTTCAACCTTTTAAAATCAAAATTTTGAAAATCGGGTAACGTGGTGACACTTGGGAAGTTATTTGGAACAACTCTGTGAAAAGAAATTGGAAAAAAGTTAAATAGCGTCATCACAAAATGGGTACATGAAAAATGCCTGTTCTTTTATATACATAAAAGGATATATACGGTACATACGGTAGTTGTATCTGTACTCACGAAAGGATAATATCGAAAATAGTTATTATAGCGAATGAAACGTTGTTGGTCTTACAATGCGCGTACTTGTTGTAATATAATAAAAGTTTGCACTCATTGGACGCAGCCGTTTCAGTACCTTGTATTCTAGGCGCTAATAGGTTCCGTGATGAAATCGTGTTACGTGTATGAAAATCGAATAAAAACCAATCGTTATCGTGAAAAAAAGAAAAAAAAAATGATCACAAGAACATTTGTTGTTGTTTTTTTTTTTTTTTTTAGTTTAACGCCAAAAACAATTTTTATAATCTCGATTTCGCGGGGTCCGCGACGCAGTACGTTATTATGTATTTCATAACCTCGTTTCGCTGAAGTGCGACTACTTATCGCTCATTTTATTCGAGTAATATTGCGAACCGTTGGCGTTCTACGTGGACTCGGGGACACTCGGTGCACAATAATCGTAATGCTATGGTGACCCGAGTAGATCTCGCGTTATTTTCGTGGACACGAAAGGTCAGAAAAATGAAATGAAAGGTCGCGCGCGCGCTGTTTAACGATTTCCCACCGGTCCGACAAGCAGTTTATGTCGGACCGCGAACACCACCGCGCGGTGTATATAACGTGGCGTAAGACGCGTATTTCGTTCAGTCACGATGTCGGTCATCAAGTGCAACGTCGCGTTTCTGAGGTAAACGAACTGTTTACGCTCGCGTCCGCTCATTGCCCGACTTAATAACCGAACTTGTAATATCCTTTCAGCATGGTGGCGGCCGTGAGCTGCGCTGCGAATTACGGCGGCGCGTCCATCAAGGCGGTTACCGACGACGTGATGGTAGCCGGCGAAGGTCCGTTTTGGGATTCCGAAAACAACGCATTGTACTTTGTCGACATAGTCAAGCACCGGGTGTACAGATACCGCCGAAACCGTTTGGATCACGCACAACTAGGTGCGTATGCGCGGAGCTGAAAATAATTAATCGCACAGTAAAGTCATCTCAACACCGAGAATCGCTCGGGGCTGATCGGTTTTCCGTGGTAGAAGGAGTAAAAAAGAAAAAAAAAAAAAATTAAATTAAAATAACTGAAAACCGAATACGCAGTAAACGTATTTTTCTTTTTTTTTTTATTTATCAGTAAACATTTTATTATTGCTTGCTAGCCGAAAAAAATGTTTGACGTAGAAAAAAATAATTTGTAACATTTGTTGTTCTCGATGATTGAGAACCGCGCATATTCGTGAGCTTTTGTTGTTAACTGTAATAACTCAGCATTTGATTCAACGTTTGAAAACTTATTATTTCATGTTGTTTCCGTTACTGGGATAATGAAAAAATAAACGTGTTAACAATACTAAAAGTTGAATGTAAGTCGGTATAATTTAAAAATTAAAATAATTTTTGTGTACATATTACACGCATTTGCAATTTTATTACAAACTAGCTATTACATAAATCATTTAGAGAAACAATTAGTGATACTTGTTTGTTTTCGGTGACTTAGGGCGGTACCTTCTCAGGTTTCTGTTGTTGATTCCAATAACTCATTTTATGAAACTACGGTTGGAAATGGCTAGTAAATAGGCAGTTCTACCAAGGACAATATTAAAACTTTGTATTTCTTTCTTATATGGGGCTCGTTATAAGTAAATTTTACTGTTCTTCGTACTAGATAATTAATCATATTTTATATCTTGGAATAATCTTCCGGTTTATTTTTCGTCTATGTTAGATATAAAAGTAGTTGTTTTAGTAATATAAAATTTTCTTGAACTTCCATTATCCAATTTAACTGCCGTCGGGTTGGTCATGATTTACTTCCTTCTCATTCTTAAGGGGCCTTTCCATCACGTCTTTTTTTAACAAAAACTACTGTTTCTAATTCCAACGCTACGTGTCGTCAATTATCACGATTTTCATTCTGAAAAAATATACGAATTATTCGTAATATGTACACGGGAACGATCGAACCACATTTTTCATTTTTGTAATTTGAATTGCAATAAATATTGTTGAAAATTAAAAAAAAAATACAGAATTTCAAACTTAAATATTTTATTAACTAAGTACAATTTTTAAAATGTGCCTCGATCGATCCCTCGTACATGTTGTGGAAAAATAATGTTTTTTCAGAATGCAAATCGAGATGATCGTTGCGACGTATTGCTTGTATTAGAATCGTATGTTAGAGTGTTAAAATAAACATTTTTTAGTGATTTCAATAAATTGTTTTGACATGTGTGTGGAAGAGCCCTCCGTACCGCTATTGCGCTATAAGATAATGAACCTATATAGTGTAGTATAATTAGATACGTTATTTCGTGGTATCTTATAATAATATTAGAAAATAGTTATATTTCTGTGCCCTGATAATAATATTATATACCTTGGTGATTGTAAAGTTCACTAGAATAAAAAGGTAATAAAAGGTCTGATGTAAACTATGTCAGTTTTTTTCCTTATCTGTAATGGGTATATGTAAACTCCGCCAGTTTTTTTTTGTGTCATGCCTGTGAATCCTTTCATAAAATCTAAGAAATTAATTTTATAAAAGTCAACCATATGTTCATACTTTTAGTAAAGTTCTTACCGAATTTCAAATCCATACTATGTAGTGCAGTAACAGAATATTTCGTTATTATTACCTTCACCAATTATGATTATCAGAGTTCATATTTTGTAGGAATTTTCTTTTTTTCTATTAGGCTAAAACGAAGCAATATAAGATTTAAATTGAATTTGTTGTTTTCCCTTTTATACTTACTGTTTTTTTTTGTTTTATATTACAACCTTTATGTTAGGTTCCATATATTTTTGTCGTAAAGGTGATCGAAATTAAACGATTTATATACTTTATACTCTAACAGATGATTTTTTCTATTAATATGACGACTAAATTTGAATACCTAAACAAAAATAGTACAAATTAGTTTGCTCTGCAAACTATTTTTATAACTAATTTTTTTTTATTAATTACTGTCGTACATAAAAAAACATGGTTACCTAATTTTCGATAAACTAAAATACAACAAATATGGTAAACTGCGATAACGATTACGATGAACGACTACCTGGATGAAGGTACGGAAAGAAGCGGTACCCGCATTCACGCCACACACACTTATAATCATTTACAACTAACACATAGATCTCGGGTGACGACGATGAGATTAGAAATTGCCTAAATGTTGTTCCTTAAATAAATGCTATATCGAGGCCCCTTAAACACTTTCCCTCAATAAATATTATTTTTACACTAAACACCCCTAAGAAATTGTTTGTTATCTTTTTTATATTATTGTTGTATGTTTTTTCTTATCTTTTAATCTATCTCTTTTCTTTAATTTCTCAAAATAAATACCTAATCGATTAACTCTTCCATTCGTTATTATTTCCATTTTTCTTAAAGATGGACTGTCCATAATAAAATCTATGCCTTAATATTATTTAGTGTGATTGTCATCAATGAATTGTCATTATTATTCAATTATTATACTTAACTGTACACTATTTATATAATTGTAGAGGTGTATTGCGCTACAAAATTTCAAAATGAAAACAAAATCATATTTTGGAAATTATTATTTTTTTTTATGGAATAGAGTGAGTCATTTGTTTTCGTTGAAAAGATAATGTATCTGGTTTATGAAGGTTCCGTAATTTTAGTATGTATTGTTACGTGCCACCGGCTCTATTTCAACTTGTTCAGTGGAAGAAGTGTTATTTATAATTAAACATGAGACTTTAACTTTTACAATACGTTAATTTTAAAATTCAAATTGTTAAAAAAATTCTGATACTAATCGTCGTAATAATTGAGTCATTAAATACCATTTAGGTATTTTATTTAGGTAGTTCTTATATTATATATATATATCAAAAAATAAACACTTTGAATGACCTTGATTTTTTGGTGGATTACGATGATAAAAAACTCGCAGTATTTGTTAAAATAATACATTTTATCTACTTCAAAATTTTATTTTTCTAAAAATATAAATATTTTTTACCATTATTTTTGTAAGGTTGAAAAAATTAAGTTGTGTAGAAATTATTTACGAAAAAATAAATTTAATTTTTTTAAGTTAAAAAAAATAATTTTTGGTCAATTATTTTCATATTTGAACAATGTGCGCCTTGTGGTTCGGCATCGGTGACAATTTAATTTAAACGATATTTTTATGTTGTACATGTTCTTACACAATGGTATATTTTTTGAAAAAAAAATCGCACAGACGGAGACGTGGGATTCGTGATCCCTGTCACCGGATACCGAGACCTGTTCGTAATTGGACTGAACACCACGTTGGCTAGCCTCCGATGGGAACTCAACAAGAAAACGTATCAAGTCACCGGATTGACCACCGTGGACAAAGACAAGCCTGGTAATCGGTGGAACGACGCTAAGGCGGACGTCAACGGTAATTTGTGGGCAGGTAAGTGATCATGTTAAGTCGGATCGTTGCTTATATACGTGAAGAGGAATACGATTAGAGGCAAACACCGTTTCCGTAACGACTCCACTGAGCAAATACGCATCGTCTGTGATTTTTAATGAATTTGTCTTTTGCATTAATTTTTTTGCTTCGGTATGAACGATATAAACGAAAACGAAATATAAATACGTTTAATATGGTTTAAGTTTATTGAGGACAACTTTAGTAGCATTTTTATTTGGCTCAAGTTATGAATATTAATTAATTTTCTTGATTTTTTTTAGAAAACCACAATCCGGCAGTGTATTTATAATAAGAAATTAAAACATAAAAATCGAAAATCTTTCGTCCGCAGCAGAGCTATTTTCTTTCGTCAAGCGTCCACGAATCATTTTTTGGTTTTTTATTTTATGAGATTTCCGTACAAAATATTTTTAAATGAAAATTCAAGCGCGAGGCCCTGAACAAATGCCCCATTTTGCCTCCCCTTTACGCCGGCCCGGGTCGTTACGAACGGTTTCTGCTTCTGCAGCAGTGTACATGCGACTACACGAGAAACCGATATCACGTGCGCAGGTACCATGGGGTTCATGGACGCGGCGGGCAACGTACCGACTGGCCGTGGCACCCTGTACAAGTTGAACAGCACCAGATGCTTCGAACAACTCGAACCCGTGATACCAGCAGTGACCGTGTCCAACGGACTCGCGTGGAACAACAACGGCACCCGGATGTATTACATCGACTCGCCGACCAAGCGAATCGCGCTTTTCGACTACGACCCCGTCACCGCTTCAATTTGTAATTATTTTGTTCTAACGATCTCTGATTAACAGTCAAAAAAGATCACCGTGTGTTAGACGATAACTAAGTTATCGCCTATCGGCACGTACGATTTCCTCATTCCGGCATTATCCCAAAATTCCTCTTGGAACACGTGTTCACGGTTTCCATTGGTATAGTAAAATACATAAATATATTATATTCACGACAGCGATCACGTGCTCCGAAAAGCGGTGTAGAACTTCAACGCGCCAAATCCAAACGCAAAAACGTAAAATATACAACAGGAAATCGTTCTCTTCTTTTTCTTCTTCTTCTCCTTCAAAAAAAAAAAAAAAAATAAATAAATAAATAAATATACATAGATATACATCTTTAATCGAGGACTTTTTTAGCGTATTTAGTGTACCAGTTATGGTTTGAAATATATAAAATACAATTTACATGTAGAATGGTTTATTAAAATAAATCATTATATTATACTATTTGGCACCGATGAGCAACGTCTTATATATGTTTAAGCATTCAAACGTCCTTCCTTCCTCCACTATATATTGGTTTGATCTCACCTCTGGCATGTATGTTTATGTGGGTATATCGGGATAAGAGAATTCTGTATTTTATATATTATTCATTCGTAACCGGTTAACGGGTTGAAAAATGTTTCACAAATTGCAGCGAACCACAGAACGTTGTACGATTTCGAGACGGACGGCTTGCCCGGCGTGCCGGACGGAATGACGATAGATGCCAACGGTGACCTTTGGATCGCTAGTTACAACGGTGGTCAGGTAAAACTTTAAAGCGAATCTCGCATCGTTTTTTAAATGAAATTATGTTTTTATTAGTATAAATAAGTGATAATCATCCCGTACAAACGGTTTCGAGTAGTCCGTAAGTAAGAAATCGAAAACTTCGCAGAAAGTTCCAACAGCCAAAACATAGAAACACACGCACACAATTAATTTTTTTTAAATTAATTTCAAATGAAAATCGGTGAACTAGATCTTTAATTTTATATTTGTTTTTTTTTTCAGTTTTACTCCAAAAATTGCTAATGACATTTCTCTTAAATTATTTTCGTCTATTATTATTCATTAATTATTCAATCCTACCACTTCCAACACAATACGTTTATAATACATTAATTTATTATCATTTCATTCAACACTTTAAGTTGAAATATATTTTTTTTTATGAACTGTAATAATTGTATACCTGGTTTAAGCTAAAAAAAAAGTTGGATGTTGTTGGATTTGCATGTTTTTCTGTATCCTTCTTATTTATGAAACTCGAAATCCATTATACGACGAGTTGCGTTTATCTTTTTTTTAGCTCCTTTGATTTATTAAGAACAACAATTCATTATGCTGCAGGTGATACACGTAAATGGTATGAGTGGGAAGTTGCTGGGCAAGTTGAAAATCGCCGCGGAAAAAGTATCGTCCGTCACTTTTGGTGGCCCTAGATTAGATAAGCTGTATGTGACAACGATCAGCCTTGGAGTTGCACGTGAGAAGTACAAAGACTACCCGATGACCGGCAAGTTACTGGAAGTATCTGGTCTTGGCGTCAAAGGAACGCTGAATCGTCGAGTTCAGGCAAAATGTTTTCGACCGTCGCTGCGGATCGAATGAGAATCACTCCCACAGTATTAACTATATTATATAGTTTATAAATAATAACATTACATTTTATTCATTTGTTTTATATTATTATAACAATATGTGTTTTTTCATTCCTTGCGTATTCAAACCTATTGCCTACGTTGTTGCGGCTTTAATATTTTGAATTGAAATAAACAATTGTAGTGTTTCGTACTTAGAATTTGGTATGCGATGAGGTATTAAAAATGAGTAAACGAAAAACAGAATAATTATGTAGGCTCTTCAGTGGTCTTCTTGGCTAATAAATTCCGGAACCCAGTCATGAAATCCTGTTGTGTTTATGAAAAAAAAAAAATAAATAAAAAGATAGAACAATCACAATCATAGAAACCATATTATCGAGAGTAATAATTTTTTTTTCGTTAATACATAAAGATCAATTGTTATTATATCATTTTTGTATAAATTGTATCTCTATACAATTCGTTCTTAAATTGAGTTAATATCTCCATATTAATTCGATTTAAAAACGGATCAGTCAGTACATAACAAAATATTGAAAAATAATACTATTCAACAACACGCGTGGCTGCGTCCAATTTGATCAGGTTCACGTCGCAATATTTGATCATGTATTTTATAACTCGTTTTGGTGCATTGCCTACACAAATAGATGTTGACAAAATATGTCTTAGTTTTGGTATAATATCGAGTGCATGTTTACGTATGGCCATGCATAATTAATTTTAAACGAACGAAAATCAATCGACTGTAGCGAACACAACGTACAAAATTGTCTGAGGTATATCGGAATTAAAATCATAATTTTGCGTGTGCAGTGCGTGTAGTACAGACACGTGTAAATGCAGCACTGCACTAAAGCGAGTTTTCGTAATAATATGTTAGTTAATTTTAGACGATTTTTTTGATATTAGCGTTATTACGAGGTATTTTAGCAGAACGGTGGTAGTCTCGATAGTATTAAAAATATAAAAATGTTCGTGATTATTCAAAAATGAGATACCATTTCTCTACTCATCTCTGTTTCCAATATTCGTTTTCCTTCATTATTAAAACAGTTAAATGTTTTGTAAAGATTTAAAATAAAATTTTTAATTTTCTCATAAAAAATTTGATTTTTAATTATATGTTATTATTCTAAAAAATGTTTAGTGTTTAATAATAATACATTTTTTTTATCCCTAATACAGATATACAAAAAAAAAAAAAAAAATGACTAATCAATTGATTTCGAATATTATTCGTACCTATACAATAATGCAATTAAATTATTCTTATAATTATCCTACACATTTCACTTATAAATTAGACATCAGTTGATGATAATGAAAGTAGGTACCTAGTTAATTATAATTTCTGTCTCCACTCGATCAAGGAGCATGTTATTATGTGCGTGTTCATTGCCACGGTGATCGAATTGATACTCGTATTTGGAAAAAAATTTACCACGATCTCAGCGTGAGGATTAGTAAAATGGAAAGTATATTTTTTTAAATTTGTTTTTGTGGGATTTTTCCGCGCACACCGCTCGGCTGTGGACAACGCGATGGAGTGTTTCGCACGCGATCGCTCGACCGTGTAGCACGTAGCTGAATTTGCAGAGGCCGACCGCGAACAGAACGGCCCGGGGAGATTGGATGGTGCGTTTTTTAATTTTTCAACGGGCAGAATTGTGACAACACATCATTTTCAAAGTTGGTTCTATAGATTTTTTCGAAAACCGAATCAACACGTTTTGCTCGTATCCACGTTTTAACTTCCGGTGGATCCGCTCCGGCCTCGGACAACGTTGCTGCGTAAATAATCGCGATTTTCGTCAGCGTAGACGTGTCCAGATATTTTTATCCGGTCACGCATAAGACAAATACACAAATGTGATACCGGGTTACCGAAAGGTGAAGAAAATACGATTTTCGAACTTTGAAAAAAATCATTGTTCGAACAATTCGTATGCAGATATGATTACGAATGTTCTTGATTCCTACTATAATTCTAAAGTCGTTTCGTTGGAATCATAACTTTAAACTAGCATTAATTGATATATACAATTAAAGTCAAATTTCACAGGTCGTGCCTGTGCGTGAGAGGTACGACCCGTACGCACGCCAATGGTCGTCCGTACGTATTTTTAGTATGGTTTTAAAACGTATACCTCGTAGTTGGATGGTTATGGTTTAAATTATTATTCTGATACGCTGCTGGGCCTCGACACATAATGTAATAATCCTCACCGGCCCAGGTAGATAAATTTCCCCGAATTCCCTGGTAATAAGCTATAGCTTTCAATGTTCAAGCGTGACCATACGTTTTGCCTGGGTGACACGACTACCGTTCCGCGTGTGTTCGTAATGAAAGATCGACGATTTCGTTCTGCTTCCACGCATCAACTGAGATGTAGCGTGTTTTACACTCGCCGAAACGGGTTCAATGTCACTTTTGCGTATATTAATATTCGTAAGATTTTCAATATTTTTTTAAACATTTTTTTTTTTTTTATATGTTTTGTTATAAAAAAAAAGGAAATTTATTTTTATTTTTAATTTTAATTTTGAGTAAAGGCCTCAACGACATAGGTCATTGTCCAAAAAAAGGTAAGTTGTATGTAAACGTACTTATGCTACTAGGTATACGGTTTTTAATTTTTTTTTTTTTTTTTTTTGTGGGTTGAATGTGAGATGATGATAGCTAGGGATAAATACATTGGTTACAATTCAAAATAAATAGTAAAAAGATGAATAGATAAAACAATAATAGTTAAAAAATACCGGGTGTACCAAGTTTAAATTGTTTTGTATAAATTAGTGTTATTAATATATTTTAATATGTTGTAGATATTTAGAGGTTTGTTGTTGAGGCATTCGGTGAGGATATTTGGAATGTTGTGTTTAGTTATTTCTTCATCGAATTGGCGGGATTCCAACAGTATGTGTTTGATGGAAATTTCATGTCCGCAAGTGGTGAAAAAAAAAATTATCTGAGTATAATGGTTAACCATAATTTATTGTACATATTTTATACATATTTAATTTTACTGTACATACATGTTTGTATAAAACATGTATTGAACGCTAATAAAATAATGTATTGCAGTGGGTTACTAAAAAAAAAAATAAATAAATAAAAGCGCTACATTATATTGTTTTCTTTAAAATTAAAAACAGAAATGGAGCCTCCGGTATGAATTGTTCATACACGGATTCCTCCCATGCATTTTAGTTCTTCTGTCAAAAAAACCATAGGAAAATGATTATTATTTTTATAGTTCCGTTGCAACGATCACGATAATTACGTGTACGCTCCTTCCGCGTACATGGATCCATACTGTGACGGACGAATGTAAATTCTCACATGTCATTTACTTGGAAAAAATACATGTAAAATGTTTACATGAATTAGTATGTGACACCAAATACAAATGTCCTTTTAAATTTATATTAAAACTAAGTACCGAAAAATTAAGTGTAATTAAGTCCAATGTACAAAATTATAGTAAAATCAAAATCGAAAAAATTAAATTAGACACCATTTTGTGCAGTTATGTAGCGATTGGTTTATAGTTGAGATCAGCTGAAAAAATTCTTGATCATTTTTTTCGTACGTTCCTCCTGTTGCGTACTAATGCGACTTATGCAGTTGAAGGTACAATATTTATTCGTAAAAGAAAAATCATTGCAAATATAACGCGGCAATCGAGAATCGCACGAATCGCACGGTTGAACGTGATCGACAACGGTACAGTAGAAACTCGATTAACCGTCACTGCCTGGACCCGGACTATGGTGGTTAATCGAATAGGCGGTCAACAGAAATTTTCCATTTAAGGTTTATATTTTACATGTGTGTTTTCAGAAAAAAATAATACACATATATACTACTACTTATTACATGCCACTGCTAAACACTGCTAAACTAAAACAAACAATTTTAAACAAAACAATTTGTTATTTTCTTTGGTTTTTTTTTTTTTTTTTTTGACGCTCGAGCCTTTTTAGATGCGATATTTCGAATGTTATGTAGCCGTAATACCGGATTACACGTCAATCATTGATTAAAATAAAAATAATTCAATTTGTTCGTTCACGTCGCGTTTTTCGCATATTTTGGATATAAGAAAACATTTGTATACGCTTGATAGTCGCCGCAACTAGTCTATCGCGATTGCTTCATTAACGATAGCCATGACGGGTAACAGAGAGTGACGGTTAATCGAGTTTCTATTGTATTTCGTTATCATGTATTAAATAATATGCGCGCCTTGGATCCAAACAACAGTTTTCACCCGTTTCCCGTCCACCGATAACATCGTTTACGGTATACCTATTTTATTTTTATTTTTTTACCATTAACAGAGCGAGGATATGGGCGCGAACGGTATTAAAATAAATACCATTTTATGTGATTGTAAGTCGAAAACGTAACATTTTTATGTACGAGCGTCGAATAATCGTATCGTAGTGTTTTTCAATCTGTATAAATATTTAATTTTTTTCACTTGAAGTCTGGTATCGTCCACAAATTTTTTCCGAACGCTTTAACTATATGTGTTTTAGACAGCGATGCGCGTATATTGCGAATCGCCACGGGTCTTGATGATCGATATTACGCGTCGGGAATCTGTTCGTCTGGAGCGAAGAGCATTATTATAGAAATCGTGTAAAGTTTTCGGATTAGTCAAAAAAAAAAAAGAAATAAAATAAAATAAAACAAAACCCATTAGCAATAGCTGCAATGCGAATACTTGACCTGGACGTCTGTGAAATGAAATTCGACGGCTGTTAACGTTAGGATCACGTAAACAAACCTATTCGGGTACTCAATACTACTTATAATGTACCCATGCGTTCACTGCAAAAACAAAACAGCTTCTGCTTCGTCCGTAGTCATTAATCACACTTGTCTATAATAATATAAGTTATGAAATATAGGTTGGAGTCATGTATTTTTGTGGCAAGGCGATTTCCTATTATACGATTGACTTGAAAATTACATTAATCCTTAAAATTACTATGTTTTTAAGGATCAGTATAATTTTAAATCGTCAATTTCAATATTTGAAGATTTTGCATAGCGACCACCAGTACTGT